GCAAGATCATTCCTAGCAAGAGACTTCCATGGACAAAACAACCCAAGACTGAGTGAACTCTCATGTAATTTGGGAAATAATTTGAGGTAGAGTCTCTTCAAATAAGATCCAAGAAGAAGTGTCCTGAAAGTCACAGCCACCACTGGCTGTTTCAAGGAAGGACTTGAACCTCTGCTCCTTCCTTTCGATGAGCTTTTGGCTTAATGAATATACAAGTGACAGGGACAGACAGAAACAAGTAGCTGTATTAATACTGAGTCAGTCTGCACCGGGAATAAAAGGTTCTAAGTAGTGATCAAGTAACAAAGAATTTCTAAAGTAGATATTTCTATTTTTGTGTGTGTGCAGTATGTATGTACATGTTTGTGTGCACTTCCAGAAGTCAGAAGAGGATGTTAGGTGTCCTGCTGTATCACTCTCCAGCTTATTTCTTCTGAGACAGGGTCTTTTACTGAATCTGGAGCTAGGCTGGTGGCCAGAAGGTCCCAGTGAGCCTCCAGTTTCCAACACTACAACACTGGGGTTACAGGAATACATGTGGTCACACCTGGCTGTTTATGTGGATGGTGGGATTTGAACTCAGGTCCTCATGCTTGTGTAGAAAGCATTCTTACACACTGAGCTGAGCATCCTCAGTAGCCCCTAACATGGATTTCTTGTTCCAAAAATTTAAACTTGGAATACGGGAAGCTTATTTCAGAATTTCAAGTGCAGTGGCACAGAGGGCAAAATGTACATGTGTAGGAAGTTTCCCCAGTGTGAAGGGCCTTACAAACACCTGTATTCCAAGACAAGAATCTTGTCACTGCAGGAACCTTGGTAGGAACTCTAAGATTGTCAAGTACTGGTTTTCCGAGAAGAAAATCTAACAAAATACCCCAGTAAAGCAAAGCTGATAGGAGAGCACTTCTTGATCAACACAAATGCAAAGGGACAAACAGACAAGGGCTTTAAGTCTCAAGTACTATGGCTTTGCAATGTAGGGTTTTATTATGATTAAAGATCACTGTATGATAGTTTAGGACTTGACAACACAAAGGAAGGATTTTGAGGCAAACACTGAAGTCTGAGTGATGGACAGATGTTTGATGCCATCTACTGAAGTGTCAACTCAAATGGAATTAGGGGATGTTCCTGGAATAAGCAATGAAATCATTTGTGATGTTTGTCTTTTTGGAAAGAGATTGCTAGACAGTAAGATGATAGTGATGAAGACAGTGCAATACTGAAGTAATATGGGAAAAATCATGTTAACACAGTCAGTTATGTGAATGTAGATTCTAGAATAGAGAATTACATCCTTTATCTCATTTTGTGTATTGCATATGCACAAAACATAACTTCCTTAGTTATCTGCATTGCAATGATCATACTATTGATAAAAACAGATAAGGTTAGACATGTCAATATTAAAATTGGCCAAAGGGCATACAACTAAAAAAGATTTAACTATTACTCACCTTCACTATAATTTCATCTGGCACATCATGAAAACATTCACTTGCATTTTTATGTTTTGAATCTAAATATTCCTCATGTCAGGGTTAAAAGAAGAGCACATGATATATTTTGCAGGAGTATGGCAGGGTATTGTTTTGTTTTAGCAATTCAAAGGCTTGTCTTCAAATACTGGTTCTCAACATGTTGTTTTCGCACCACCACCACCACCACCACCACCACCACCACCACCACCACCATACTGTCATCATCTGAGAACTTCATAGATCTACAAGTTCTTGAGCTGTGCTCCAGGTCTACTGATGCAAAGCTCTGAGATTAGGTCTGCTGGTCTTACTTTAGGCAGCTCTGCAGGTGAATCTGATACAGTTTTGAGACTGACAACTATCTGGTATGAAGGATCACTTTCACTGAAACATAACACCAAACTCTTGCTGCATATTTTGAGTACCAAAACTTGTGGAACTGAAGAAACCAGCTAGAAAAATTAAGTAGGGCTGATAGAGTTTCTGTTATTATTTTATATTTTCACAAATTATAGTCATAATTTCTAAGGGCACATACTGTTAGAACACACGGACACACAAATATACATAAATAAAATGAAATAAACCTTTAAAATACTTTAATAGTCATACATGCGTATCATGTACTTTGATCAAATCCACCCAGTCCCTTCCCTCCACGTCCTCCTCTGCATCACTTTTCCCTCCCAATTTCATGTGCTTTTTCTGTTTTGGTTTGTTTTAAATACCCACTGAGTCTATTTAGTGCTGTCTGTATGCACGTGGGTGTGGGACCATGGGTAACCTCAGGTAGCTTCTCAGGCCCACATCCCTGAAGAAAACTGATTCTCTCTCCTGAAGCCATCAGCTGCTAGTAACCTCTTTCCCCTAGCATCCATTGCCGGTAGCTCCTCATCTCGGCTGGAACTTCACGAACTCCTCCCCCATCCACGCTGGGATTTTGTCTGGCTTGATCTTGTGTGAGAACACTAGATTTTTTTTTTCTTTTTTAAATTGAATTTTTGTGTATTTCATACAATATGTTTTGATCATATTTAGACCAACCCCCCATCTGTACCCCTCATATAGCCCCCTCTACCATTTAAACATTAAAGTCTATAAAGTCAAGTTTGTGTCCCCAAATGTCCTTCACTGTATATCCGTCCAGTGGAGCCTGGTTAACTTATCTAGCATCACACCCTTAAAGAAAACCAGCTCTCCTTCTCACAGAAGTTTTTGGTTGCCACTAGTTCCCTGGCTAAGGGTGGGGCTTCTTCCCCACTTCCAAGTTCTATGCTGGAATTTTCTCTAGCTTGAACTTACGTGGGTCTTATGCATGCTGTCACCATTGCTGTGAATTCATAAGAGTAACTTCCCAGCTGTCTGGAAAACTCTGTTTCCTTGTGGTCATTCAGCACTTGTAGCTCTTACAATATTTTCTCCTCTTCTTCTGTAATGGTCCTTGAGCCTTGGGTGGCAGAGGTTTGATATAGGTTTCTTATTCAGGGATAAGAACTCGATAGTCTCTTATTCTCTGCACTTTGACCAATTGTGGCTTTCTGGGTTAACTACCCTCTGTTGCATGAGGAAGCTTCAGTGGTAAGAGTTGAAAGATGCATTAAGATTCTCTCTGCCCCCTGTTCCACGATGTTCCCTGAGCCATAGGTGTAGAGGTTGCATTGTAGATGTGTCACTTAGGGCTGGGCATGGCACAGATACTTACTCTCTGCATTTGACAAGTTATAGAACTCTGTAATAGTCTCCATCAGTTGCAAAAAGGATCTTCTTTAATGAGTGATGAGAGGCACACTTATCTGTAAATAAAGATACAGAACACTTTGCAAATTTGCATATCATCGTTGTGCAAAGGCCATGCTGATCCTCTCTGTATCATTTGATGGCAGTATATATGCTGCTAGCACAACACTAGAATTTTTGATAGGTAAAATAGGCATGGTAGTGCATGCCTTTAATCCCAGCACTCCTGAGGGAGGCAGGCAGATTTTTGTGAGATTGAGGTCAGCTTGGTCTTGGTCTATATAACAGATCCAGGCCAGCTGGGGCTACAGTGAAACCCTGTCTCAAAAAGATAAAGAATAAATAAATAAATAAACAAAACAAACACACACACACACAAAATACAAAAATAAGAGTACCAACAAGATGTTAAAAACTACATAGATGTGTTTGCTAGCCTACAGCAGAAATTACAATGTGAAGATTAGAGATTGCTCATTGATAAATGAGCCTTCCAGGGCAGAGCATGTGAATAAAAGAGAGGACATTCAAACCTCAAGGACTTCTGGGCCAAGAAAAAGCATGCAACCGATTAGTAGATTCTTGGAAATTTTTTAGTATGTTCTCTTTATATTGTGCTAAAATAGATGTCATATTTACCAGTTTACTAATTAAGTACCCAGTTCAGTGGCCTTAAAATACATTCATATTATTGTGTGATCATCTCTACCATCTATTTAAAAATACTTTTCTATCACTCTATACTGAAATTTTGATTTGGTTAAACTTTAACCCAGTATCTTTCCTTCCCCTAAGACACTAGAAACCAGTATTCTACTCCCGTCTCTCCGAAGTTGCCTGTCCCCAGTGCTTCAGATAAGTAGAATAATGTGATATTTATCATTTTGTGTCTGCCTTATTTCACTTAGTGTATCTCCAAAGTTCATCCATGTTGTAACATATATTAGAATTTTGTTCCTTTTCAAGGCTGAGTAATACAGTACTGCATATATATACCACAGTTTATCCACTCACCCTTGTATTAGTTACTTTCCTGTTGCTGTGATTAAAACATTGACCAAAGCAACTTACAAGGAGGAAGAGTTTGAGCTTATGGTTCCAGAGAGATTAGAGCTCATCATGGTGGGGAGGCACTGTGATGGAAATGATAGAAGGTGGCACCAGAACACTCACATCTTCAAGGAGGGGCAGGAAGCAGAGAGTGACTGGAAATCCCACAAAGCTTAAGCTCTAAGCCTGCCCCCAGTGACATGCTTCCTCCAGCAGGGCCACACCTCCTGGAGCCTCCCCAGACAGCACCAACTAGAGACAAACTGTCCAAATACTTGAAGCCTATGGGGGACATTCTCATTCAAACCACCACGCTCAACAATGGACCTTTGGGCTGTTTCACACCTTTGAACTGTTTTGAAGAATGCAATTTTTAGTAGAGTGCAAGGAACTGATGACATTGAAACAGGCTAAGGAACAAAGTACTTAGAAGTGATCTGTATCTACTCATCTGAGGAGCGCAGCTGTGAAAGGCAAAGGGAAAGCAACATGGACCAGCTCTGTTCCTTTGAGACACAGAGTTCACATCACAGAGGAGTCAACCTGCACGCTGAAGTTATAAAGACAAGAAATGAACAGGAGAGCAGGAGATACAGCATTGGAACCTTAATACTGTCTCTCCATTAATCCACATAATACCCAAGAAAAGCGTAGATTTTTAAATACTTTATCAACAGTGAAATGTACTAAAGCACTTTCTTCTTAAATGCCTTTATAATGGAGTGACTGACATAGAACTGCCTGGGTTGTCTTCTCTGTCATTGTCCACAGGACACTGAGAAGTCACAGGTATATACAGACAGAGACTCCAGGTCCAGTTTCCCCTCTAACATCGTAGAAAGGGATGGTATATCATGAGGTAGAGACCTATGCTCCCCTCTGCCACTAGTGTAGAGCCTGGGGAGAGCAGCCTCCTGGGGTAGCCATACTGGGGAAAAAAAAATCACAAACTTTAAAAGTTCAGTGTTTTTTTGTTTTTTGTTTTTTTTAACTTTAAATATAACAACCAAAGAAGCAGCATTTAACTTTTATGTTAGGGGCTCAAATCAACTCTATAAGAAATAGTTGAGGAGCTGGAGGGATGACTCAGTGATTAAGAGCACTGACTGCTCTTGCAGAGGACCTGGGTTCGATTCCCAGCACCCACATGGTGGCTAACAACCGTCTGTAACTCCAGTCCTGGGGGAATCTAACGCTTTCTTCTGACCTCTGCAGGCACTGCATAACAAGAGTGCCCTTACACACATGCAAGCATAACACTCATACACAAAAAAAAAGAAATAGCTGACCTTCATGTATTCTAATACTGATACTTTTTTCTCTCCTCTCTTTGTCTCTGACTCTCTCTGTTTTCCCCCTCTCTGTTCTCTCTCTCTCTCTCTCTCTCTCTCTCTCTCTCTCTTTCTCTCTCATTCAAACTCAAAGTCAAATGGGGGTTGGATCTAATTCTTGAATTGATGAAAAAAAGACTCCGTATCCAAATCCAGTGCTCATTCACTTACAATCATCCCAACTTGGCCCCATTTATCACAATCTGCATGGGAAATGGGAGGAAATCTGATGGTTTCTCAGAATGAGAAACTTGCCTCTTTATTGCTTTTGGAAACAGGTGGTTCAGTCCATTGAATAGCACAGGACTGTATGTGTAACTGTTCTTCAGTTTACTGCCTTATTTTCTCTGTGGTTTATAAACAGTAGGTGTTTTCTTCAAGGGATCATGGAATAATTCTTTCAATAACATGATATCTGGAAAAGTTAAGAAAGTACATGTTGTAATTATTGAATTCCTACAAATAAATCTCATTACGACAAATATTTTTAAGATACATGGAATTCATACACTCATATTTTTCGTATTTGACTGTTCAAGATAAAACCTGCCTCTGAATCTAGTCCCCCCACCCCCTTTTTCTTTTAACAGTGCTGGGGATTGAACCTAGAGCTCTTCTAAGCTAGGTAAGTGTTCTACCACTGAGTCATAGCTCCAGCCCTCTGCTTACTTTTAACTTATTTTTGATAATTTAAGGGATTTATTCAGGCACCTCTGGATTATACTGTTAAATTGTGCCTGCTGCTTCACTAAGACATTATGATAGTAAACCCTGCCTTCAGTAGCACCTGTGCTGCTCCACAAGTTTGGTACTGGAATCATTGCATGCACTGCCTCAGTCATCACAGAACCCTGCAATATAGCCAATATGTCCTAATTCAGAGATAAGAGGAGTTGCTGGGAAATGACACCTCCTCAGCACGCAGCCCCAGGCTTGTACTCTGAACCCATGTGGATCTCACTCTAGAACTGTGTTCTCACCTCTAAAAACAGCCTCTCCAAAGGGCAGAAGTTGCACAGTTTAACATCCAGCGGGTTAAAACTTCAGCATAGTCGCAAAGCAAAAGCGGTTTGGAAATGAAAACTGTTTACAGAAAAACTACAAAGCTTCCTTGCTACTCAGTACAAGACAGTGAGTGGCTTGGAAAAACTCAGGTGGGTGCCTCTAGTGTTGCCCCCAGCTCTCATGTCAGAGAGATTCTGGGCGCCAAGCCATTTGTTGTTGGACAGGTGCAGAGAATAGAGTTAATTATAGCCTCTGGTATGTGTCACGCCATCACCCAGCTTCATACCAGGCCCTCTTTCATCTCTCTTGTTTTAATCAGTCTGATTATTCCCTTTATTGCTACTTCCCACTCCCTTCCTGCCCCTCCTACCATCCAGGCAAACATTTCAACATGTCTAATGCTATCCTATGTTATGTGTTCTTGAAAACCTTTACTGTGCTTTCTGTACGAGTATTTGGATGCTAGTCAAAATGGCCCTCAAATTTCAACATGAGTTTCAGAGGTGACATGTGAACATCAGTCGCCATCCACAATCAGGATAGAGATCTCACAGGAGAGCACCTTCAGGATACCTTGATGCTGGAGTCCCAGCCTCTGTGGCTGTGAGAAAATAAGTTTCCATTATTTAAGTCACCTGGTCTATGGTATTTTGTTATTCAGCCAAACAGACTGAAATACAGATACTTTCTAGCAATGAATAATTTTCAGCCAAAGAGAGCACATTTGCAGACAGTTGCTGATCCTGAAATGTTTCAGACGCATGGCAATGATAACGTATTATCAGTAAGAAGTTCATTTGTGCTTCATTTAGCATAAGGTGTCCTGTAAGGCACTGTTAGAAAGAAATCTCAAGCCAGATGGTCCCTGCTCCTCCATGTCATAGCAGAGCAGAGAAGCATCCATGAGGAACCATCTCTCAGATGCTTAGTGACCCAATAGCTGCTTTGTAGAACGTACACCCAAATGCTGATATACACTTCCAGACAATTCATTTCTTGCTCTGATACCTAGAATAGGAAAACCAAAACTAAGAAAAGTTTGGCGAGGTGGTAGGTGGTGAATTAACTAAGTTTTCCTTCTTCAATGCCTCATGGTTGAATCTATCCTTTACCATGAGTGGACACAGACCTCACTACCAATATAATTGGTAAAAAGTCACTAGTGTTACTAGGTAAACATCCAGTACTGGATTCTCTTTAAGAAGAAAACTGCAAAGGTCCCTGAGCCCTAAATGGGTGAACCTCAAACTCTCAGTTCCAATGGGTCTTTTAAAAATTGAATGGCCAAGTCAAATTGACCTACAAGAACCTTGGAGCCCATTCAGGTCCTATGAATAGAAAAGAAGTAGAACAAGGAGTACAGAGAACACTAATGCATCTCTCAACTCTCATCAATGAAGCTCCCTCATGCAACAGAGAGCCATGAACACAGAAGGACCCAAATGGTCAAAGCATAGAGAATAAGAGTCTTCAGAGTGTGGGTCCCTGAATAGGACTCCTATATTAAACTTCACCCATCTAGGGCTCAGGGACCTTTGCAAAAGAGGGACTGGAAAGGTTTTAAGAGGCAGGAGAGGAAGGTACATGACCATATGGAAACAGTCTTATAGGCTCCTGGAACCTTGTTCATATGAACATACAGCAATGGTGTCAGCATGCACAAGACCCAGGCAAACTCAAGCAGACAAAATCCCAGCACAGAACTGTGGAAATTGGCAGCAAGCTCCAATCTCAGGCAAAGAACTATTGGCAGCTGATTACTGCTGGGTGAGGAGGAGCTGATCTTAAATGGAGGGACTCTAGAAAGGCTGACTAGACCTCAGTAGATGAACTTGCACTGAGAGACATGTGGGGACACTAACTTGACTCAATAGGCCTTAACACAAATGACAGAATGCATGAAATCCAGTTGGGGGGGCTATGGGAGGGGGTCAATGGGGAAGAGGGTATAAAGATTATTAAGATGTTCTGTATGAAATACACAAAAATTCAATAAAAATTTACAAAAGAAGATAAGAGCCAAGTAGCCCTATATTCTTTAGACATATGAATAGACTTTGAAAGACTGTTTAGTCGAAATGTCTTCATTGCAACTTAACCCCGCCTCTTACCCTCACCTTCACCTGTTCATCTGGCTGGCTTCTCAGGAAGCTTGAGTCCAGGAGAAGAAAGGTGAGGAAGAAAACCATGCCAGACTACAGAAAGGAAAATTGAGAGATGTGTGGGAAGGGCTGCTGTGGAGGCCAACTTGCAGAAGGCATCCACTGAGCTGGGCAGGAGTGACCCTTGTGTGAGATTCTCAAAGTTTGACCTGCTTTGTAGGTGTAGAGTCAGATAGGCCTGCCTTCTGCCCCACACTGCTTCTCACACAGACTCTTGCTCCATTTTTGGATGTGTTGGGAACGAGCTGGCTTGCTGGTGTGGGCTGATGCATCATTTTCCTTCTCTCATTCTTAGCTGGCAGCAACGTTCCAAACCATGGACTTGGCTTGTTTCTCTGAATGGCAATATGGCATACTTTTTAAATGGCTGCATCACTTTTGATTTTGGAAAACTAGAGTTAGAAAGGACTGAGTGGGTACAAGTTTAGCTATTTTGCATTGAACTGCCAATAAAGACAAAATGGATCTCTCTCACTTGGGTATTTTTTGTGTGTCTCCAGCTCCATGGTGTTGACCAGCCTTTAATCCATAATACGAGGACAGAGAGGAAGACACTGCCTCTGTTAAGACAGCGTTCCTTTGCCTTTAATTTCTATAACTCACTCTGTAAGCAAAAGGAATTGATTTTGACCTAGTTCTTTCCAACAGTAATTATAGCCCCTATCAATTTTCAAGAAAAGATGGAAAAAAAGGTGAAAACTTGATATAACAAGGCATGGGACTGAATGAGAATGTCATGTCCCCTTCTGGTGTCACATTTCTCTTAACTGTAATAAACACACTGCCTCGGAGGCAGAGACCTCCAGCTAGTTGTGGCAGAAATGGAGGTCTTGCAATCCAGGTTCATTGTCGCTGAAGGGTGATGATTTCATTTCAGTAGACAGGTGATGCACAGGGAGGTCGCTCACGTTGTTACACCCCCATCTTCAGCCTTCACTAAATTTACTCAATTGGAAATTAGAATTTGCATTATCAGGATTAGGATGTTCTTTATGTCCTCGAGGACCACTGCCTGGCATGTGGTTTTCATAGTGTCCATTGGTGGCAAGAGAGACGGGGCTAAGGGAGACGATGCTCCCCTGGAGCTGAACTGATCATTCAGGCCTTCTCTTCCCTGCACATGCACACACTAAGAATGCATACAGAAACTTCTAGTGACACTCCCGTGTCTCTACACACAGTGAAGCTGTCTGGAAACTGGCTCCTTTCTTTTGATGCCCTGGGTCATTCTGACAACCAGGGTTCATAGTAAAATTGATTACTAGCAACTGGGGAGATGGCTCAGTGGGTAAAATACTTTGTGCAAGTGTGAAGACCTGAGTTTAGATTCCCCAGAATGCAGTAAAGCTAGATGCAGTTGTGCATATGATTGTAATCCCAGTGCTCCTACAGGAGATGGGAGGCAGAGTCAGGAGGATGCCCAGATGCTCCTCG